ATATAAATACTCCTTAAGTAGACATTTTTAAATGATTATGTCCTGCTGGAGTGTGACATGACTTGTGTTCAAATACCGTATCAGAATTTTATATATTTATACTTCTCATTCGACCACAATTAAATTCATTCTATCTAGAAGGCACAATTTATATGGATAGTTTTTATTTTTTACAATAACAAGAAGTAAAAAGTAGGCTGAAAAATAATTACTCAAGTACAGATACCCAAAAAATCTATTTAAGTACAGTAACAAAGTAATTAGTTACTTTACAACTCTGGAAGAAATCTCCTGTAAGCCTCTTTTATCTTCAGAGCAGACATCTTTAGAGCTGGACAATTTTTTCMACAAGTTGTCTAAAACGCAACAGTGTGACAGGGCCTTTACTCTTTGTTGTATGATAAAATTAACTGGAGTGAGAAAAAGACAAGAGCAACCTGTTTCCTCAGTAGCCTCCTTCAGGATAGCATGATTTATTACATTTCTGAGCAGTGTCCAGAACCATTGCAGTAGGGGAGAGAAACAATCTAAAAGGTGAAATACATGATATGCAGTTTCTAATAGGGGCGTTATTTTAAGAGTCATTTTACAAATGCTAAGGACATGAAATTTTACTTCAACAAGTGAAAAATATAAAGAAGTAAATTGTAGCATAAGACAAATATGAACTGAAGTTGATATTTTCAGCCCACATGCCGACCRCTCCGTATCGAAACTGGAGCACTTTGCCAAATGTTATGTTTTTTTTGCTTTTTTTTAAACAGCAGTTTGACTTATTTAAAAAAAAAATCTGTGAAATTTAATTTAGAAAGTAACTTAATCAAAAATATTAAGAGTAAAAATAAAACTGAAACTGTACACACATCTTTAACAAACTGGCTAAAAACGTGAACACGGCATCTCTACAAGGCATCTAGTTTGTTCAAATGAGGTCATTATCCAATTTGTTTAAAAATAAAAATACTTTTTTAAACAACAAAATCAGTTAAATCAACTCAAGACATCAAATAAGATCGTATCACACACATTTCACACAAAAATAACTGAAATTGTTTTACAAAATAAACGGACTGGTGACAGTGTACGTTGATGGTTTGACGACTGGTTAGTCAATTTACAAGATGTGTCTGAAATTTCAACAACTCATCGAACTGCTTCAAATCAGACAACCTCTTAAAACTTCATTCTCAAAGCTGGAACAAAAAAAATAATAAAAATAAAAATAAAAATAAAAATGGGGGGCAACTCAGACTAAAAACGTTGAAAAAGCACAAACTTTCTGCAGGGTGCCCATGTCCTAATTATCTTTTTGCACTCGGGGTTTCAGGTTTCTCCTCCGGGTGGCTCTTCTGGTGAGCGCTCAGGGTGCGCTCGCGGCTGAAGCTCTTCCCGCAGGTCGGACAGGCGAAGCGTCCGACGGCGTGAGCCCGCGACATGTGGGCGTCCAGCTGCTCGGGCCGGGCGAAGCTCTCCTCGCACTCCTCACAGGGGTGGGCTTTCCGCGGTGCGTGCTTCTCTTTCTTGTGAGCGCGGAGCTGAACCAGGCCAGGGAAGGCCAGCTCGCATTCAGAACAGGGGTGCTGACGGGACGCGGCGGGCTCAGCTTTRGGCTTTTTCTCCTTCGCCGGACCCTGAGGGTCATCCTCTGCGCTTAGATCTTCTGTTTCGGATTTTGGGGCTGCTTTAGGGGGACGGCCACGCTTTGCGCCGCCTGCTTTCCCTTTTTCTTCCGCAGGCGTGGACGCCGGCTCCGACGTGCTGCTGGCCTCCTCCGCCTCGTCTTTCTTTTTCCTCTTCCCCTTTTTCTCACCGCCGGCAGGGTCTTCYGTTTTGGGAGGCCGCCCACGTTTCTTGATGGGTGAAGCGCTGCCGTTGCACTGCTGCCCTTCGGGGTACTTCTCCTGGTGCTCCAGCAGCTCTGACTCGGCTTCAAATCCCTGTCCGCACTTCTTGCAGCGATGGGTTTTTGCCGGGTCCTCCGACGGTTCTGCGGCCTCGTCCGGGCGTGGGTGCTGGGTCAGGCGATGAGTCCGCAGCAGGCCGGGACTACGAAAGACCGAGTTGCAATCTTTACAAACAATYTGTCTCTCTGGACACACCTGTCTCCTGTGGGTTGTAAGCTGCAAAACACAAAAGCAAAAATAAAATTCTCACACAAATAGGGAGGATCGTTTAGACACGTGCAGTTTGTCAGTGGGCAGAAAGAAAAGCAAAGAGCCAACAACGAACAAGGTGTCTGAAGACAAAGTAGGTGTTTCTGAAGGGCCACACCTGACTGGATGAWGGCTGCATAAGAGTTTCTTCATAAAAAAAAAGTGACTGRATARAAATGAAAGRCTTATTCTTTTTTAAAYATCACTAGCTTACTTCTCCAGCATCTGACTTTCATTTATTTACGGTATTTAGTTTTACAAGGTTGCTTTTTTTTTTTTTAACCGAGGGTATCAGAAGACTTAGACACAATAACAGATGGCAGATTGTGTTAGCCGGTCCGACCATAAACACAATAAAGAYATCTATTGTGTTTATGGGACCGATTCTCTTTCAGAAACTCTTAAAGGGATCCCCGATTAGTTGTAACTTTATAGACTTTATTTGATAAACATATATTTTAACTGTAAAATAAAAAGACTGTAATAATACTGTAGGCTGTTTAGTTTTTATAATTATTAAACAAATTTTTTTCAAAATATATTACACGGACTGAGCCATTTTATTTACACACAAAGCATTCTGGGTAAATGATAACGTCGACAAGGTCATCGGTGCGAGGCTGCTAGCGAGCTATATCCATCCTGAAGGTTAATCTTATGCCTGACGACTGTTGACAGAGAGAAGGTAGAAATGACTCAGTCTGCAACTGAAAATATGGATGGAGGACAACAGTTTAGCTTATTAGTTTGTCGCGCTAGCGCCGAGCTAATACATATAAGGCAACACATATAAGGCAATATAGCGTTGGGGTTAAAGCTAACAGGCTAATCTGAGGTTGTTCTTCCATGAAGCAGCTCTGTTGTCCTCCATCCATATTTTCAGTTCCAGGCTGAGTCATTTCTACCTTCTCCTCTCTGTCAACGCTCTCTGGTTTCATTTAAAAGTCGATCATCAGATATTGTCCAAGATTAACCTTCAGGGTGGATATAGCTCGCTCACACTGAGGACTTATCCACGTCATCATTTACCCAGAATGCTTTGTGTGTAAATAAAATGGCTCCATCCGAATTAAAATATAYTTTTTAAAAATTACTAAACAGGCTACAGTATTTTTACAATCTTTATTTTACAGTTAAAATAAATGTTTATCAAATAAAGTCTAATGTTAAAACTAATCGTTGATCCCTTTAATACAGAACTTTCGGTTACATTTCAAAATAAGAGCAACATAAATCAATAGATTTAAGCTAGGGAGGGCTAAATGTTTTTCTTTTTTTAATGATACCTTGTCATTATATTAAAAATCAAACAGTACATGATGTTTTTCTGCACACCGGCAAGGTTTTGAATCTAGCCATCACGTAATCACAACAAAGACAGTGATCCAAGTCCAATACGACAAGATAGAAACTCTAGAGTTTTCACAACATTACAAGTATTAATAAAGTTAAAACTGTCAAACCTCTGAAAATGTTTTAAAGCTCTCCTTGCAGTGAACACATTTGAAGGGCTTGTCGTCACTGCTGTGAGTTGGCTGGTGTTGTGTTAACTCCTCCGACGACGGAAATGTGCGATCGCACACGTAGCACGTAAACAGCGTGTTGCCCTGCGAGGRGACAAAACATAGACGAGTCAAAATTAAATAAATTAAAAGACTCTTAAAAAAAAAACTTTCATTATCACCCACTGCTGAAATCCAAACATGGAGGATAACAAAGTGGCTGTWAAATCTATTCACCCCCTGAATGTTTTATCCTTTTATTGCTGTAATAAATCGCTCGTGATCAATAAAATTAACAACAAAAAAGAAAATATCTGGTACACAATGAATAAACATCAATTTATTACATGGATTTTCAAGCCRGTATATTTAGAGGAATAAAAATCCTAGTTATAATAGAAATTTAAGTGTGAAATGTACCTGCTGCAGCTGTTGTTTGTACTCTTCCCGATGACTCTTCTTCATGTGCCTTTCCTTGGCTTTGGCATTGCAGAACGTAATRAAGCACTGGAAACACTGCAGGTTTTCATGCTGGTCTGAGAGATCACGCAACACAACAAACATTTACGGTTTAGTTTAGTGTTTGAAACAGAGCAGAAGTTAAGCAGTGAGCCACTCACAGGGTTGGACAACAGTGGCCTGGGGTCCATTCAGGATGAGTGGTTTGTATGGCTCTGCTGGCTTTTCTGGGGGAGCTTCTGGAGKTGGATCTGGCAGTCCCCGTCCCATCACGATGTCCTCTACATTCAAGATATCCGAGTCCATCCTGCGAGACTGAGCAGCTAGTAGCTGAAAGCTGTCCTGAATACAAGCAGAGATAAAAACAAAAAAAAAACAAACGGAAAATAAAGCTAATTACGACAGCTTGTTTACAGCGGGAAACACGTTCATTGCGTTAAACAGTAATAAATAAAACTTAACGTCAAGATGAGGGGAATAATCGCAAATATATTTTAAACTGAACGATCTGGGACCTAAGGCTTGTTTACTGATTCAATCAGGACAAACACTCAAGTGAGTTCAAGCTAATGTTCATCACAAGGCCCCGCCAGCTAAGCTAACTAGCTAAACGCTAGCCTGTATCCGATAAAAAGCTCACTGCTATAATAAAACCTTGGATATTAWAACCAACAAGGTAAACTAAAAAACCTTAACTATTAGCCAGATTCACCTGAAACCTGTGTATTTGCACGTACCTAATATTTGCAACCAAGTGCCAGGCTAGTTGAGCGGGTTAGCGCCAGCTAGCTTTCCACTTGTTTAGCGCTAACAACAATGTCTTCGTGCCTGAAGTTTGAACTAACTACTCAGTGCTTAACGCATCTGCCGAGAATCAATATAAGGTACGTAATATACTCCACCACAAAGCATGCAATGATATATACAATGAAAACAAAATATAAAGGCGAGTAGCCATTACCTCTAACCGCTCTTTGAATGTAGTTTGACTGAGAGAGTTGACCCTAGAAGTACAACAGATAGATTGTACACTTCCTGCTGTRCGCTTGTTGTGATTGGTACAGTTAAGATGGCTGCCTCAGCCGGGAGTTTTCGTTGTTCATTTTTGAACAACAACAAAAAAAAACAAATAAATAAAATAAAACACCCTTTACAGATCTGCCAAAGTTTACCGTCGGTGATGCAGTTATTTTGTATCGCTTAATAGTAAGCTTCCCGCAAAAAAAAAAAGGGGTAAAAGGAGTCTATAATAATGACTTCAACAGTGGGTATCCTCCTTTTCCGTCAGCCGGGCGGGTAGAAGTGAAATGGAGCGTGATATCCGTCCACCCGCTTAGCCGCTTCGTTATTTGGGCTACAAATGGTGCGTAGCCACTGTCAGAAAAATCAACGACGTTTTTCTCCGCGTTTTGCTACTAATTATAATGATTCATTACACTATGAAATGAGCTGCGGCACATATAACTACMTTTTTTTAACAATTGACTGTAAATTGACAGAAATTAACACACATTTTGAAATAAGTATCTGCGAATAAATATATAATGTGAAAATGTAATTCTAAGTAATATTGGAACAAAGTTTTAGTCCTTCTTCTGAAAAGTATCATTATTAAATAAATAAGCCATCTGGAAAAGCATAAAAAAGAGAAATTTGTGAAATAGACATTTTCAAAGAAGAGCATTAGGGCCACAAAGCTAAATAAATAAATGAATGAATAAATAAATAAATTTCCCCAAGTTCTGACTTTTTCCCCCAAGTGGAAAAAAAGAGGATTAGCTCTTTTGTACGTTTTGAAATAAAAACTGCTAGAATTAAATTAAAAAGCCCAAAATAAATCTGAATTATTTGGGGTGAAAATCACATTGAAATAATGTTGTATATAAGCACATTTTTAAAGGACAATGAAAATGTTCATAATAATTTGTGTTTTATTAAGCAATACGTATGTGTTTTTAATTTTTTGTGGTGTTCACATGACTTTTTGTTGTTTGTAGTGTATTAATTGTAGAAGCAGCTTTGTTTGGCGTAAGTTGTCCTGTCCAAGACAAGTTTTCCCTTGGGGACAATAAAATAAATAAATAAACAAACAAACAAACAAACAAACAAATAAGTAAGTAAGTATGTATGTATGTATGTACAGTACAGTATGTATGT